GAAAAGATCAGTATAAAAATAGACACAATATGTCTATATTACTCAATGAAACATTTCAATGTAAATATGCTGCATATATATATATATATATATATATATATATATATATATATGTATTTATTTATTGTGTATATTTAGGGGCAGCAATTTTTCATTAATGCATGTTTCATTAAATAATATAGACAAGTTTTGTTTATTTATTTTAAGTAAGTTCCTTTCATATTGTCTGATAAGCTTAATAACATTATCATTGAAAGATGAAAGGAAATCACCACATTGATACATGTTTAAATCCAATCCAAGCTTTCGGCTTACATAAGCCATTATCAAAGATGATAATTACTTTTCAATATATAAACCAATACACAGACAAAACAATAATAATAGTCTGTTTTTGTTGCATGAAAAATTTTAGAGCAACGACTAATTTGTGTATATGAGACACGGAAGCGAAAATCGCGTCACAGCTCATGACGTCACACATTCATTGTCTGTTATATTTAACAATATATGATTGAATAATGATCTGCTGCCCTATATATATATATATATATATATATATATATATATATATATATATATATATATAATTAAATGAACTAAGTCTGACAATTATTTTAAGATATTTTATTGTTATACGTTATTTATATATACACAAATATTTAAGTAAATGGTCTGTTTATAATAAACAGTATTAACAACATTTACTGGCCTGAGTGTCTGAGAAATTACATAGAAAATATAAGTTCTCTGACAGGAATCAAACATATATTCTATACGGAACCGTCATATAGCCTGATGTGCTATACCATTTAGCAATAGAGGAAGTGCCTGGTTAGAAAGGTCGAATTACTGTTTGTCTTTGTAGCTTAAAAACAGTAATTCGACCTTGCTAACCAGATGCTTCCTCTATAGCTAAATGGTATAGCATGTCAGGCTATACAACGGTTCCATGTAGGATACAGGTTCAATTCCTGTCAGTGGACCCACATTTTCTATGAAATACTTGTATCTATAGAAATAGTATATAAACAAAATATATATATATATATATATATATATATATATATATATATATATATATATATATATGAACAAATATAGTTTTAAGGTGTGCTATATTTATGAGGATAAAGTGCTCAATATCAGTGATAGAGCACGTGTAAAAGTGGCCTGACAATTGCGTCTAGCATGAAACAGACTGTCGCCTCTACGTTTTGACTTCAATGTTCACTTTTATATATATATATATATATATATATATATATATATTTGAAGAAATATAGTTTTAAGGCGTGCTATATTTATGGGATAAATCACTCAATATCAGAGATAGAGTGTATGTAAATGTAATTTAAAAGTGAACAGTCAAGTCAACACTCAGAGGCAACAAGCTGTTTCATGCTGCCTGACGATTGCATCTAGCATGAAACAGCTTGTCGCCTCTGAGTGTTGACTTCAATGTTGTCTCTCTCTCTCATATATATATATATATATATATATATATAAAATAAAAAAGAAAGAACAGTAAGATATAAAATCCAGTGTTCTTATAGATATTTTATTTTTACAAAATAGTGCTCAATGTAAATTTACAGAGCATTAATATTATAAATTAATTGATTTAAAATATGGTTATTTTCATACACAGTTCAACCATGTTTCAAAAATAGAAGCTAAAACCCCTAATTTTATTTTTGCAATTAAATTAAAAGCATTAGTTCCATTTCATCTTCAAGCAAATTTTGGAGTCTATATATATATATACACGCACACACACACACGTAGGCCAAACAATTCATGAACCAAAAACATGTCAAAGACAACAAATACAAAAACACAAGTCTGAAAAGTGGCAAAGTGATGCCACTTCATGTTGCAATTTCAGTAAACTAGTTAAAGTAAATAAAAAATAAGAATGAAGAAAGAAAAAAAATAGACCATGAGTGAAGGGGAAAATACGATTTAATCGAAAGGTTTACAGAGCAACCATGTAGATAAATGAAAACTTGGCCATAATCCCAAGAAAATAAAACAATATACAGCTGTGAATGTTTTTCTGCAGTAATTCAGCCTTTCCTAATAATTGGCGGAGTTGGGAGTTATTTGAAAATGGGTTCGGGGGGGGGGGATAGAAGTGTTGAAGTGGATAAAAATAGGAGGTGGGGTAACCTGAGGAGCAAGTGCTTGAAATATCTGAAAAAAGTATGTTTGTGTCAGAGAGAGAGATTGAAAATGTTTGCAAGAGGGAAACACAAAAATAAAAAGAATGGTACAAGAAATAACAAAAGAGAGAGAGAGAGAGAGAGATTGACTGATTTAAATTTTTTTGGTCTATCAAACCTTTGTGAGTTATTTAAAGCCCGAACATATTTTAGATTGGCAGAACATATTTTTTTTTCTACTATTTAACCCATAGGGGAGGGGGAAGAGGATGGATTCATACCTTTCCCTATGATAAATAGTGAATGAGAGTGATAGGTGATAAGGAAAGAACTGAATTGAGGTAGCTGTGGAATGAAAAAGAGGAGGCCATTAAAAGACAAGTAGAAAATAAGATGTTTGCAACAGAGAGACGAAAAATTAAAAATAAGGGCACAAGAGATGGAAAGAGAGAGAACATGATAAAGAGTGGTGAAAAGAAGAATTGAGTTGGGTACGTACAGAAAGAGAGTGTGTTTAACGGCATATCAACACCTTCATGGGTCATCTAATGCTAAAATTTAATTTTCTTAGGAGCTTTGAAGTAATAAAAATATGTTATTCTGCTTTCACAGTTGAATACATGGTAGATTACAGGGTGTCCCAAACAATTTGACATCATTTCACAGGCCAATAACTTCGGCAATTCTTGTTGAAATAACCTTAAATTTTCACAGAATATATAGAAACAGATCAGGATTTTATATTAAATGTTTTATTTTTGTTATCGCAATGAGAATCTGCCAGAGAGACGGATCAAGCGTGGTGGAGATGAAGACAGTTTTCTAATGAAATGGCCACCGCGGTCGCCAGACCTGTTCCCATGTGATTTCTTTTTATGGTGAAGGAACTAGTCCCTGCCCCCTCCTCTTCCTGCTAGCATTGACGAACTCAAGCAGAGAATTACTTCCGCACTGAATAATGTTACCAGAGACATGCTACGGCTACTATGGACTTGACATGTGCCATGTCACAGGCGGTGCACATACTTATGAAATTGGTCCCATAATAAACTTATGATGTTCGACACCTAAACAGTTCAATTTCATTGAGCTAGACTTAGTCGTTTTCAAGATAATCGACCTGTCCTACTGCCACAATAATGGTGACATGCCTCCATTGCTCTCTAGGCAGCCAATGTAATGTTAACACAGCATCGCTTGGTAGAGCACTTCCCAGACCGTTAATCAACAACCCGATTGATTTGTTAGTTTAATGGAATATCAACACCTTCATGGTTCATTTAATGCCAAAATTATTTTTCTTGGAGCTTTGACGTAAGAAAAATGTCATTCTGCTTACACAATAGAATACATGGTAGATGATATTCACCTTTTGTGCATAGACATGTTTTGTGTGGACGAGATTAATAGACATGGTGACGTGTATGTTTTACATTGTAGGTTTGTTGAAGAAATTGTCGGACATTATATGGATTAATGTCACAAAAGAGTTCTTTCATGTTAGTTGTTTGATTTTGTTTGGCGACATATCAACACCTCTACGGGTTATTTAATACCAAAATCTAAATAATTTGAATACAATTTTATGGTTTGGTTTGACTTGTTTTACGGCATATCAACCTCAATTGGTTATTTAATGCCAATAAAAGTTTTATTGTTGGCAATATTTTTTTCTTCAAAAATGCATTGCTGGTAATATATATATATATATATATATATATATATATATAAAATTTTTTTCCCCCCAAAATGTATTGTTGGTAATAATTTTTCTTAACACCCCCCCTGACCAAAAAACCCAGTTTTGCCCATAGCTGGGACCCTTAAAAGGTGCTACCACCCTACCTGGGCCAGGGTGAACCTGGAAACACCAAAAATTAAGAGTTGGCACCACACTCCTCATAACCTACTGATCAGAGGCCTTGCTGTTAGATGTCGTTTATCTTCTTACACAGAATGTGGATGTAGTTTATCGTCATACCCTGGATGCCCAATGAATGCTAAATGAATACAAACAGGAGATAATAATGATAGCAACAGTAATTGTTAGGTCAATGAATGCTAAATGAATGCAAACAGGAGATAATAATGATAGCAACAGTAATTGTTAGGTCAATGAATGCTAAATGAATGCAAACAGGAGATAATAATGATAGCAACAGTAATTGTTACGTCAATGAATGCTAAATGAATGCAAACAGGAGATAATGATAGCAACAGTAATTGTTAGGTCAATGAATGCTAAATGAATGCAAACAGGAGATAATAATGATAGCAACAGTAATTGTTAGGTCAATGAATGCTAAATGAATGCAAACAGGAGATAATAATGATAGCAACAGTAATTGTTAGGTCAATGAATGCTAAATGAATACAAACAGGAGATAATAATGATAGCAACAGTAATTGTTAGGTCAATGAATGCTAAATGAATGCAAACAGGAGATAATAATGATAGCAACAGTAATTGTTAGGTCAATGAATGCTAAATGAATGCAAATAGATAATTTCACGATTACTATTAAAAATGTGGTTTTGAAGTAACAAGTAACAAATCCAATACTGTCAGCATTAAGGTTAAGATGTTTTTTTTAGAATCCCAGACAACACTAGTATAACCCTGCTGGTCAGAGAAATGTGCCAAATATACACAGTGGGGGGGATAATATGAATCATGTACATGGCTTGTCAGGGTGGGTATTGAAGAGACATGTGTCTACAAATGCCCCACCCTACCAGCCACCTTTGAAAGAAAGAAAAAAAAACACTTCCATAATATCTACTGCTATGGATCAAGTTGCCTCCCTCAGAACGGCAAAATAAACGACCCTCACTCTACCCTTTGATTCCATCCCCAAGTACCTGGAACGGCAGGGTCTGGGGAGAGGTCAAGGAGGAATAAGCTGGGTTGGGTAGGAAGCCAGGAATTTTTTTTTGTGATTTTTGCAAAGGTGAAAGAAAGATCAGTTGAAGAGTTGGCGCTGGAGTCAAAGTAATAGAAATGTCAGGGAAAAAAAATAGACCTCTTCTTCCCTTTCCTGGAGTGTTTATGTAATGGGATAAAGATGAAGAAGAGGTTTGTTGTTTAGGCTCCGCGAGAGGGGGGGAGGCCAGAGGAGGTGGGGTGGAAGAGACATCAGGGGCCCAGAGGAATTTCCAGAGATTGCTGAGAGGGATGCATCCTTCTTTTTTCTCTCTCTCTACTCGACTCACAAACCACAACCACTGCTTCTACAAACACCCAACCCGAGAAAGATCAGTGCATTTCAGCTCAACTCTGCCCTTCCTGCCGGCTATTCTCTTAAGGCCTCACCTGTCAATAATACTATCTTATAGAGTTACTTATATCTTGATTAAGTAACTTCAATTTAAAAAAAAAAAAAGAAAGAAAAAAACATGGGAGGCTTGGAGGTGGCAGTGGTCAGGTGATGGTTGATTGGATGCAGGAGGGAGGGCTTTGTGTATTTGTTTAACAGAGCTTTGACGAGAAGATAAGCACTCCATGGATGGGTTTCAGTAGTATCTGGGGAGTGGGGAATGCACCCATGGTAGGGGTGAGGGATGTTTACAAGGGGGTGGTTAGTTCAGAATGAGGCCCTGGACAAACAGCAAATAAAATGGGAAAGGGTCTGGTGAAATGGATTGACTGTTGTTAGGGAGAGGGTGTGGCACTGAGAAGAAACAAAGCATAATTATTAAATATAAGTAATTGAGACACAAATTTACCTAATAATTATTATTATTATTATTCTTTTATGTATCTTGTATCAGTTTCTGGTTTGGTTTGTTTTACGGCCTATCAACCTCAATGGATTATTTAATACACACAAGATTTTTATTGTTGGTAATACTTTTTTTTTGAAAATATATTACTGGTAATACTTTTTTTCCAAAAAAATATTGCTGGTATTAAAATCTATTTTTATACTTTCATAGTGTTTTGACCACTTTTGCAGGGGGTAACTATTTGCCCATAGCTGGGACCCTGACAGGTGCTACCACCCCGCTTAATTGCTGTTGTTCCTAAGTCCACCCTGACTTGGGGTGGTAGAAGCTGTTAGAGTCCCAACTATGGGCAAATAGTTAACCACCAAACAGGAATCAAAACGCTATGAATGGTTTATTTAATGCCAACAAGATTTTTATTGCTGGTAATATTTTTTAAGAGTTGTGCCGTGTAGAAGCAGGATAAGACTCTTTTCGCTTGAGGGAAATCGTACAACCAAATGGTTAGAGAAGAAGAACACTAGCGAAGGTCAAAAATGGTAAGTTTGAGCGGTCTCTGTGATTTCTTTGTCAATGAGGAATCATCATTGTATACTTATTGATTCAAATAGATATCCTAAGGTCGGGTTTCATTGTCATAATAGAGGTTTTCTCCTGAAAAACTGACATCATTTAAAATGTGATTGGTTTGGTTTGTTTTACGGCATATCAACCTCAATGGGTTATTTAATGGCAACAATATTTTTATTGCTGATAATTTTTTTTTTTTTCAAAAATGTATTGCTGGTAATAATTTTTCTTCAGAAATTTATTGCTGGTAATAATTTTTCTTCAGAAATTTATTGCTGGTAATAATTTTTCTTCAGAAATTTATTGCTGGTAATAATTTTTTACAAACTACTTCTAGTATTAAAACCTATTTTTACACTTTCATAGTGTTTTGACTCCAGTTTGGGGAGTTAACTATTTGCCCATAGCTGGGACCCTAACAGGTGCTACCACCCCAGATCAGGATTGACCCAGGAACACCAGCGATTAAGAAGTGGTTTCACACTACTCAAAACTGGATCAGAGGTCTTGCTGTTGGACGTAGTTTATCGTCATACCCAGGATGACAAAACGACGGTTTTTCCATTGACACTGTTATTATTTTAATTACCGTCAATCTTCGGCAATGTTTATTGTTTTGAAGATGATGATTAGAATCGTAATCAAATCTAAACATATGAAAGTGAATTTATACATTTTCTTTGTTCTTGAGAATTTATGAGAAAATATTTATATAACTGAAACAAGTCTTCAGGTTGTCATTTGGTTTTTCCACCATAATTAGTGTAATGGTTAACTAGTTTGTCTCACTAGATCAATTACAACTGAAAAGTTAGTTTGATCCTTACCTCTGTTACAAAGGATCTTCTCAAACAAACAAATATTTAAGCAATCCATACAATTTGAATTTTGTCAATGTTTTTTTTTTTTTTTTTATATATATATATTTTTCAAAGGGATGCTAACTAAACATGTCAGCAACAATGAGGTTTTGGAGAAAATGGAAATAAAAAGGCTTTTGTACTTAGAATCAGAAAGAGACAGTTGAAATTTCCATGATACATAAAATGCTTGGAGAACTTGACACTCAAGGCTGAGAGTGCGAAAAACCTCCCTAACGATCTTGTGTAAACAGTGTTTGCCTTGTCTGTTTTGCGTGCATCTGCATGTAGCGAGCACTCCTCTTGACTGAGAAAAACACTGGTGTTAGATAGCTCTCCCAGTCCTAGACCCACGCTGACTATTGGCTAATACCTACCTGGTAGCGTTCATATGCAAATAAACAATGCCACCTACTCTAAGTAGAAGGTCTTCTCTCAACAGCCCATTGTGGAAAGGGACACAACTCCTGGTGTTTACAGCATCACATACAATCAACTCAGAGTCTTTTATTGAGCTGACTTGATTCTCTGTTACAATATGCTAATAGCATTGACTATTTGATTTATAGTCAATTGCCCATCATCGATCCCTCATGTGGTGATCATGACCAATGTTGTGGTAGTCACAGGGCATCCCGACCTTGGGGGATCTTCAAGACTCTCCCTTTCCCTCCTAAATTCAGCTGCCTACTTTTCTACTGTTGATAAAGCTGAAGTGCCATCTTCTAATATAGCAAATAGTCAGCACCACCTACTCTTAAGTAGAAGGTCTTCTCTCAACAGCCCATTGTGGAAAGGGACACAACTCCTGGTGTTTACAGCATCACATACAACCAACTCTCTTTTATCAAGTTGACTTGATTCTCTGTTACAAACGGTTAGCAGAACACAGATTAGAAGAAAAAGCACAATGACAAACCTTACTAAAAGCTACAAATGACAGGAACTTGTGGAGAGTCATGATCGTGCATATGTGGTAACACAGCATATAGAAGTTGTTTCAAGGGGATATACTGAAAAGTTCTAGTCCAGACCTACTTGACAAATTCTGGCTAAAAAGCAAACTGCAGCATACTCTTGTATGAGGTGAATTCTAGAAGTTTTTAGAGTTGTGAGTTCAATACCTGGTTAAGGCAGTGGAGAACTTGGAGAGAGGAATTAACAGGATTTTCTGAAAGCCAGCTTCCATTCTCCTAATTTGGGCTGAACTGCAAAGAGATTATTGTGTGGATTATCATCCCAGTACAGTATGAGGTGAATTCTAGAAGGTTCAAGACTTTTTTAAAAGATAGTTATAACTGTCATAGATTATCATAATTTTAGTACAAAATTACTATACATCGAATAAGCTGACCTGCAAACTTTTGTTATTCCAGATTGAAGAAGATTGCTGTAACAGTTCTTTGAAAACACCCACTACTAAACACTGCTTAACCTCGCTGACAAGTTTAAAGAATGCAGTTGGTTGGTTTGTTTTGGTTCACAGCATATTCTTTGGTTTAGATTGGTTTTGCTTTATTTTGTTTCATGATATATCAACCTCAATGGGTTATTTAATGCCGACAACATTTTTAGGATAGATTCGTATGAATATAATATGTATTCTTTGGTTTAGATTGGTTTGGTTTTTTTTTTTTTACGTCATATCAACCTCAATGGGTTATTTAATACCGACAACATTTTTAGGATAGATTCGTATAAATAGAATTTGTATTCTTTGGTTTAGATTGGTTTGGTTTATTTTGTTTCACGGCATATCAACCTCAATGGGTTATTTAATGCCGACAACATTTTTAGGATAGATTTGTATGAACAGAATATGTATTCTTTGGTTTAGATTGGTTTGGTTTATTTTGTTTTATGGCATATCAACCTCAATGGGTTATTTAATGCCGACAGCATTTTTAGGATAGATTCGTTTGAATAGAATATATATTCTTTGGTTTAGATTGGTTTGTTTTATTTCATCCCACGGCACACCAACCCCAATGGTCTACTCCATGCCAACAAAATTCTTTATTGCTGGTAATATTTTGTTTTGTCAAAAATCTGTTTCTATTAATATTTTTCCTTCAAAATTAAATTGCTGGTAATATTTTTTCAAAAAAGTATTGCTTGTAATAGTTAACTATTTGCCCATAGTTGGAACCCTAACAGGTGCTACTGTCCCAGGTCAGGGGAGACCTGGGAATACCAGCAATTAAGAGGTAGTTCCACACTCCTCAAAACCTCCTGATCAGAAGCCTTGCTGCTGGACGTAGTTTAACGTCTTACCCACGATGCGGATATAGTTTAACCCAGTACGGTGAACATATTGTTTTTCATTATTGTATACCTACTTTTGCACCCCCACCCACCTTATATAAATAGATATATTCTAAAAGAGGACATCTAACCTGGAGTTTATCTCACTGACTGTTGAAAGTGTGTCTAGGCTCGATTCTCTCACACTTAATAACTACGCCATGCGAGATTCTTGATCAAAGTTAATGTCTATTAAGTTAGTTCTGTTTTTGGCAAAGAGCCGATTGGTCAATCAATCAATCAGTCTGTTGTTGCCGATCCCTGGCCCAGGTCGATTATCAAAGGGAGTGTTGGGTGTATAAAAGACCAGATTTCTTATCTTGGGGAAAATCCTGTCTGTGGTCAGCCTGTGATCTTCCTAGACGTGAGGCGGCAGTCAACCATTTTTAACTGTTATCAGAATTTGCTGACAAATTTCCACAAACAGTTTTTTCTTTTTTTTTTTTTAGTCTGGGAGGAGGGACCTAAAAGAATATCTTAATAAGCAAACAGATAAAGCCGTAATTGTAATAATGACAGTAATAATAACAAGTGACCAGATGAATATTAATGCTTTGATGATTAAGTCATTGACAAAAATGGAATCATCTTGACGTTCTTTACTCTTTGATGCCTAACACCAATTTTGTTTCAACGCAAATAAATAAGTCAAAGTTATTTTCTGACATTTATTAGGTGAATTATCATCACAACCAACATTTTATAACAAGATTCAATAAACGAAATTGTGGCTTTATAGATGAAGCATTTTCATTATTATTATTATTTCATGACTAGTTTTACTCCATTTTATTACTGTTGTTGCTTTTTGGATGAAGCATTTTCACTATTATTATTTTATTACTAATTTTACTCCATCTTATTGTTATTTAGATTAAAAATAATTATAGGCTTAATAGTCTAAACATGAGCAAGTTAGAATAAAGATGACTTGGTCCAAACATAAGCAAGTTAGAATAAAGTTAACTTGATCTAAACATGAGCAGGTCAGGATAAAGACAACTTGGCCTAAACATGTGCAGGTCAGAATAAAGACTTGGTCTA